ATTAGCTGAAGGATTATCTCCCTACCATATTCTCATCTAAACAAATGTTACCCTGATATCCTTGATGGAGTTTCTGGAAACTTTAAGAAAACTAAGGGGGAAAAATGTAGTAAGAAAGGGTCTTTTGTTTGGTTTTTTAAATTCATTGGTCACCCTGGAACTTTCTTCTCATCTAGTTAACACAGTGAAGCTCACTTACAGACAAAAAAAGTAATTAAAATCCTTAACTGTTTATATTATAATAGGGATGAATAGAGAATTATTTTACTTATTAAAATGAAATGTTAACCTGAATCTTAATATTGCAAATTTTTCATTTAAATTGCTAAAATTAAAATATTTGTTAAATTAAATTAAATGTATTAATTTTAATCCAAGAAATACTCATTAATTTTTTTAGTTGAGGGAACATTGGTTTACATACAGCATTGTATATGATTTATTTATTTATTTATTTATTTATTTTGCATTGTATATGATCATCCCCTTCAGTGGTTGTTACTACAGCACACCGGCACCAAGACACCCATGAGAGTTAATTAAATAGGCTTTTGTTTAACATTATTAAATAAAATCACGTGTTTTCATATTGTTAATTAAATAAGTTTTTATTTAATTGCCCTGGCATGTTCTTTTATTTATTTATTTATTTTTACATTCCTTTTCTGAATTGATTATAAGGGCTAAGAAACGTCTTTGAAATTCACCTTTAATACTAAATTCATCTTTTAATACCAGATTCAATACCAGACCAGTATTTTCTGTTTTTTTTATTTTCTGGGTAATTTGTGCAGTGCACAAGTATTGCAGATTGAGTAAAAAATTAGACAGAAGAGGCTGCTAAAATAAAAACTATTTGTACTGATCATACCAAACTAGATTTTAGCACTCAGGAAATGGACAGATTGAATAAAAGAATAAATATGTAGCAGATTGAAACATGTTCCTGCATATTCAAAAGTACAATGAATGTCCCATTCATTAGTGCCTCAAATCAAACCAAATGTCACTCCAAGTCCCTATCTCATGGAACTGATAGGACAGTTAACCTTTGTCCTTTGGTGGTATGGGGATGAAGTGATGGGGGTGGTGGGAGGTTATATGAGACAGGGATGCACCAAGAGGTCTTCAGACATTACTTCTGAAACAGTATATCCACAATAATCATCCCTTTGGTCCTAGTTCTACTGAACTAAAATTACAATTAGAACTACAACTAGAACACTGTGCTAAATGACTTATTGCAAAAACATGGTTTGGGAGCCACATCCATAGCACATACATCTTTATTGAGCCTGATGTCATCTACATGCAGGATCTAGCACCCCTACAGGCACCACGAAGTCATATGACCTAAAATCTAAGCAAATTTGCCATGGAGATAGTCTATCACCTGTATATGCAAATTGTCATTTCTTGTGTTGTTAGGATGCAATTATTATCAGGATTATTATACTGTACTTCCACAAATACCATTTCTCAGAATGCACGTGTCCTTCATTCTTGTTGACTTGGAAACATTTCCTCTTTTTAATTTTAAGCAACTTCATTTTTTTTCCCCACAGCAATCGTTCTGGGCAAAAGGGAGCCAAAGGAACCTGATTACCTACTTAAAATTATGAATAAGAAAATGTATCAAAAATAATTTCACTTAATATAGTAGTAAATAATCTTCACCTCTCAGTATATATAATAACTAATAACTAATAACATACTAGTAACATAATAACTAAAACATACAAAGATGTGAGATACATACAAGAAAAAGCAATGACAATTATTTTATTTTATTTTATTTTATTTATTCCTGTTACAAGTCAGACCTTCAGAAAAAAGAAGATACATATCCTCTAATTATATATTATTACTTAATGGATGAATACATATAGGTTTTAAAGGAATAAGGAAAAAAATGCACTGAAAATATCTGATCAAGAATTTGAACCTATAATATTTATATCAATGATATCTTTCTTTCCACTATACCGATTCAAGGACAGAAAATAGAATGTCATAATGACATACTGACTTGACTGAGGGCATAAAAAAAGAACTAAATATTGAAGAAATAATAAGATGACATTTAAAAGATCATTGAACACCTCTTTGTCCTTCCTTCATCAGCACTCTCTTTCACACTTAAATCAAGCCTAAATGCATAGAAACGTTAATTGCTGTATCTTTTTATTTTAATCCTACTATAACCATTCATCTCATTTCAACATTTTGTTCGCTCTCCATTCACACAAAGTGCTCTAAGAATCTACATGCTGATTTCATTTCTTTCCAGCAAATTGACTTCCTCCTGTAATTACACAAAAACCTTGTTAAAATCTTCTAAGATCTCCCATTTTTCTTCTGATTTTTTTTTTATCTCTACGGTACTCTCTGTGTTTAAGACATCGCCATACTTTAATGGGTTGGTGTTATTGCCACCCGAGTAGCTTCTCCACCCAGTAGTCAGGAAATTTTTTATTGAATAAAATCAGATCTGGTAAACAATGGACTCTGTGGAGAATTGTCGTGTGCAGTGGGTGCTGGGTGGGGTGTGGTAACACACAACTGCAGCGTGTGATCCTATACCTCTAACACATACACAGCATTGTATACCAATGTTATCTCAATAAAATTATAATAATTAAATTAAATTAAATTTAAAACTAAAAAGAAAAAAATTAAAATATCAAAAGCAAAAGTAGGAGGGAAATCCTAAAGATTATTTGGAATCTTTGTTTTGAAAGTTCCAGAAAAAAGAATTCTTATGGACCTTAAAAAAAAAAAAAAAAATTTGTTAATGTCAAAAAGCCACCTAAAAACTCACTGATTTCCCATTATGCTTAAAAAAAAATCAAGTCCTTTTCCCAAGGCCTGCAAAGCTTAGCATCATTTTGTTCTTAACTAGCCACTAGAGTCTATTGTTTTTGGCCTAGTCACATCTGTTATGGTTACACCATTTTTACCCCTTCTGACTCCAGGCCCTTACTATTGGTCTGTTTCTTAACATGTTCTCTCTCATTTATTTCATATAGAGGGCACCTGCTATTTTGATATCATTTCCACAGAGTGGCCCTCATGACTGTCCTTTTTTTAGTTCCTTCCTCATCAATCCTAGTACACTGTTAATTGCCTTTCTGGCACCTTGCTGCAATTTGTAACTTTTAAATTAACATTTGTCAATTTATTGTCAGTCCCAGCCACCAAATATAAGTTCCAGAAGATGTGGATTACATCTTTTTGGCTTACTATTATATTTTTGGAAACTAACGAAGTAGGTGATTAATAAATATGTGTTAAATCATGAATGATTAAACACAGTCCTGGTTCAAAAGTAAAGCATGTCAAATAGTACAGTTCATATTTCTGGTGTAGTTTTGAAATTCCACAGAACTGGAAGAAATGCAGCTAATGACAAGACTTCAGAATTTTGGCAGAAGTATATAAAGTTTAACAGAACTCCAAAATTATATTTCTCAGATAACATCATCATACTGACATTATAATATTATGATAATGACAGGTATTTCAACTATCTGAGAAAAACAATGAAGATGCTCTCTTTGCTGTTTTCTCCCTCCTTCTTTATAGTACTCTACAAAAATTATTTACCATAAATATCTGTGGGCACTGTATTACTCATAAGAGTATAGAGTGATATCATACTTTTGTAAGAACATTTGACCCATATATGCCAATTTATTTATTTTTGAAACATTTTCATAAGAAAATAATTAGATAAGAACACATAACATTTAAACTGTACTGGGCCTCCCTGGTGGCAAAAGGGGTTAAGATGAAACCTATGAAGCTGTCCTCAGCCACTGAAGCACAAGTTTGATCCCTGGCCAGGGAGCTACCCTCATGGTGCAGCAGACCTCTCCTGACTCACCCGCCGCTTCCCTCAGTAGTGTATTTCAGTGAGTCTGCCTGTTTTGTTCCCCACTCTGTCTCTGGTGAATTCTCTCACTCCCCCCATCCCTGGCCAAACCCCAGTTCTTGTATGCATAAATAAATAAATCTTTAAAAAAAAATAGAGAGAATGGAACTGCATAAATACCAGAAGAGGATTTTTTAAATGGCGTAGTTCTAAAATATTTTCATATATTCAGTAGTATAATCAGCCATTAAATTTTTAATGACAAATTATATTTTATATGATATAATAATTTATTTCTTGCTCTGTATGAAAAACCATCCTAAAGTTTAGTAACTTAAAAGAGCAATCATTGTATTGTTCATGCTTGTTTGTGTTAGGAATGTGGACAAGATTCAATGGGATTAGTTCATTTTTTTTTTTTTTTTTAATAGAGGCATGTTTTTCTTTATTTATTTGTTTGCTTGTTTGTTTGTTTTGTTTATACATGCACTGGGTACAGTCAGAAGCGCGGGAGGGTGAGAGAATTCACCAGAGCCAGAGCGGGGAGCAGAGCAGGCAGAAGGACCGAAGTACACTGCTGAGGGGAGCAGCGGGCGACAGGAGAGGTCTGCGCGCCATGTGGGACCCTCCTCCGGTGGCCGGGGAGCAGCCGGGGATTGAACCGGCGCCGCAGAGGCCGCGGGCAGCTTCGCAACCCAGCGCTCTACCGCTGCGCCACCGGGAGGCCCGGGATTAGTTCATTGATTCCTTGTGCTATGAGAGTAAAATCCATGCTAACATTTGGATTGCATAGAAGGATGGCCTGAGAAACTTCAACCAAAAGAAAAAATCAAATTATTTTTGCATAAGATAAAAAGATTGTTTTGTGTCATTTTCTTGTGAAATATCAGAATTGCCTAAAGACATTTGTTAGGTGCAACTTATAAGCTGCAAATCTAGTCTTTCTTTTACCTGTTTCTTACTTTAAAAATATATGTGTGTGTATATATAATTTTTTTTTTTTTATTTCTCAGGTCTTAAGAACAAGCTGAAAACATTTTTCAAAAACAGATGCAAAAGATCTTATGGTGTTATGTTTGTTCTTGCACTTGTATCAATAGTACATATAATTTTGTGTGCAAAATTTTGTATTCCTAAAGGAGGTGAGTGAATTTCATCCTTTATTTCTTCACTTAATTTTTTCCTCTTTACATGGCTATTATGATCCCTTTACCTTCTGTCCTTTTCTCATTATTCCCACTTCCTTCCCATAATTTATTGTAAAGGGGTATCAATGACTTAATTATTATGAATTACATGGCCTGTGTAAGATAATGTAAATGGCAAAACAATTATCCTGATAATCTGACATTCCAATCAACATTCCCACATCAATGACAGCAATTATTTTGATAGTCATTGACATAGGTTAGTTTTGTCCATATAAATAAAAGCAGGCAGTGCTTTTTACCTTTGTATCCCATTTATTTTATTCCAGGTTATGTTTGTGTTATATGTCATAACATAGTCAGAAGTCATTGAATAAGGGGGTTAGGAAATATATAAAGAGACAGAGAGTAAAAATCATTTAGACTTTGTTAATCATTCAATCTTATTCCAATTACCCAACTCTGTATTTGTAATGCAAAAAGCCACAGAAAGTATAAAATTGAATGCAGATTTTTTATTATTATGTAATTTTAAGTATCACAAAACATTATTTGATTTTTTAAATCATGTTTGATTATTTTAAAATGTAAAAGCATTTTAAGCTTTTGGGGTGTGCAGGAAAATAGATATTGCAAATGTTACAAGAGCAGAACTTTAAATATAGAACTTAAAGATAACATATCTGTGGGAGAGATCTGGGTGTGGCGATTCTAAAGGTGAGCTATTGGAGAAACAGTTATTAGTGATTTTGACTTGTAGCCCAATGTATGTGGAGGACCCAGAGATGAAAGAAAAGTCTAAAAAGTTAAAACATTTGGCTGCCAGGACTGCAAAGGGAAACTTATAAAAAGACTGTGAAATAACCTCTGACTAAGCTCTATAAGAGCTTACCCAGTGGTGCAGCGGTTGAGTGCTGGGCTGTGAAGCTGCCCGCAGCCTCTGCAGCGCCAGTTTGATCCCCGGCCACCTGCGAGGGTCCCACATGGCATGGCAGACCTCTCCTGTCTCACCTGCTGCTCCCCGCTCTGGCTCTGGTTAATTCTCTCACCCTCCCGCACTTCTGACTCTACCCAGTGGGTGTATAAATAAATAAATAAATAAATAAATAAATCTTAAAAAAAAAAAAGATAGGGCTTCTGCTACCACCTTCCAGGTCTTGTGGGTTCTTTTCATTCTTTAACCCAGAATCATATAATGTTGCTGGTTCCTAGTTGATACCAGATAATTCAACATATATCTTAGTTATATATCCTGTTTTATTATTTTCATGGCTTCCTTAGAGCTTAAAACATGTCCTAGATTCATAAGAATGTGATATAAATTATTATTTTTATTACTCCCAGATAATGCCAGGATTTCATTGTATTCCATTAACCCAGAAATGGCAAGGTGAAATCAAATTGGTTGCTGTAGGAAGACCTATATCCCATTGAGATAGGAGTTGAAAGGAATTTCAGTGTCCTGCTAAATCCTGAAATTGCTGTTATTTCACCTAACATGAAATTTCCTTATCAACTTGTTATCTGATAGATTTCCAGTTCTCATCAGGATCATATTTTTTTACATCAGGATCCTGTCTTTCCCCCTAAGTCTCAGAACACAGGTATATTATTTCATCTGGTTCTTAAAACGTGTCTATCTCTGATTTCCAGATATCAAACCCCACTCTAGTCAGGGCACTTGCCCAGATGAATGGATTTTTTATAGAAAAAAATGCTACTTTTTCTCTAAAGAAGAAAAAGACTGGAATTCAAGCAGACACATCTGTTTAACGCAACATGCTGCCTTAACTGGGATTGACGATCAGATTGAAATGGTAAATAATTTCATACACATTTTTTGTAAATTACACTGAGTTGTGGCACTGGGAATACCACTATGATATTTAAAACTTTTCACGTGGGCCTCTCATGTATGCAGAATAGGAAAGATGTTCAGAATATGCCGTGTGAGGTAGAGTTGAAAAACCTAGTGAAATTATATTGGGATATATAGGACATATAACAAATAGTAGACTTGATGACATCTTTCTGTTTTAAGGGCTGTAGGTAGAAGAGCTTGGTAATACTTGGAAATCTTTTAAAAATACTCCACATAGAACTTTCTCAGGAAGGAAGACATACTGCATTCCACTCCCTTTGAGGAAACTTCCTCTGACTTCTCGGTCCTGTTTTACTGTGGTCTCCGAGGTCTAGGGCAACATCCCTCAGAACACTCAGGACCCCTATGTAACAAGTCTTCCCCAGACCAGACTGTGAATTTCCAGGGAGCAGATTCTGTTTGTTTTTTGGGGTTTTTTTTTGTTTGTTTGTTTGTTTGTTTTTAAATTTATTTATTTATATAGCACTGGGTACAGTCAGAAGCACGGGAGAGAATTCACCAGAGCCAGGGCGGGGAGCAGAACAGGCAGACTGAAGAAATACACTGCTGAGGGGAGCAGCGGGCGGCAGGTGAGGTCTGTGCGCCATGTGGGACCCTCGCCTGGCGGCAGGGGATCGAACCGGTGGGGATCGAACCGGTGCTGCAGAGGCTGCGAGCAGCTTCGCAACCCAGCGCTCAACCGCTGCGCCACCAGGGAGGCCCAGCAGATTCTGTTTTATGCGAAATTGTATCCTTTGCTACAGCATAATGGCAGGTACAATTTAAAAGTCTAATTTTTATTGAATACATATTGATTTACATAAATAAAATGCTGTAAGTAATAAGAATCTCCAAAGTTTAAATAGGGTTTGTGATACTCTATATCTCTACATTGTGAAATCTGTTCTTTCCCCAAGTTGCTTAGGTGGTAACATATGTTTTTACTTTTGCTTAGTTGCTTTCAAATAGGGGTGAATACAAGATATAATGTAACTTGATTTTTTTTTTTAATTGTGAATAGTATACAATTAAGAAATGTTGAAAATGGAAAGCAGCAGAGCACATCAGCGAACAATGTTAAAAGAATTGTGTGTTACTTCTGTGGTGAATAAGGTATATTTATTCAATCTGCTTGGGGATTTCTTTAAATTTAAATGAATATGGGCCTCCCCGGTGGCGCAGCGGTTGAGCGCTGGGTTGCGAAGCTGCCCGCGGCCTCTGCGGCGCCGGTTCGATCCCCGCTGCTCCCCGGCCACCCGAGGAGGGTCCCACATGGCCCGCAGACCTCTCCTGCCACCCGCTGCTCCCCTCAGCAGTGTACTTCGGTCCTTCTGCCTGCTCTGCTCCCCGCTCTGGCTCTGGTGAATTCTCTCACCCTCCCGCGCTTCTGACTGTACCCAGTGCATGTATAAACAAAAAAAACAAACCAGCAAACAAATAAATAAAGCATGCCTCTATTAAAAAAAAAAATTAAATGAATATGAACTCGGCTGGGCAATTTATAAGTCAATGCAATAGAAGGTTCAGGAATCTGAGTAAAATGTGAAAAATTAGACATGTTAGGAGAAAACAGAAAATTAGAGGAAGGCAGACTCAATATAATAGGAATAGCTTCTATAATCAACAGTTTTCCTGGTAAATTTTGTAAGATCTTTAAAATGAGCATTCTAAGAAATCTATAAACTTCCCTTAACATTTTCTCTTTGAAAAATAAAGCTAAAATAGCAACAAGATACAAAAAAAGTATTCATTAAATGTTTAAGGAATAAAATAGTAATAAGGCAAAATATGGTAAAATTTTCCTTTATAGGAATCTCATCAGTAAAGATTGACACATACAAAGAAGTGCACAAAAGTAGTTAGTCTTGAATTTAAGGAAATCTTTAAATACATGAGCTAAGGAGGATTGAACCACTTGGATTGAGAGAAAAATCTGGTCATACAATATCCTGATGTATTTTAAAGATCATCGGTGATTATGTACTGCATGATCAGGGCAAAGTTTAAGTGACAAACTGAATGAGGTGATGCTATCTGTGAAAAAGTGATAGAAGTAATGTATAGAAAATCTTGAAAGTATAATTTACTTAAAATAGTTCAATTAAAAAATATATATTTATTTAAATCATAAAATGTTTCCTAGAATGAAATGAGGCTTATTTCTCAAATTATTTACATTTTTCCCTCCTATTTAAAAATTGAGCATATAGCAATTAACATTTTTTATAGGACAAACTACTGCCCAGTTATCTGTCATCCAGACTCAAACTGCTGAACCCCATCCAATTTTCCCGACAATCCAAGAACATATATGCAGTTGGTTAAATAAAAAAAAAAAAAACTGTCCTTTCTTATTTCTTATTTTGCCTTCAAATAAATTTTTTCATGGGCTTAGAATATGAATTGCCCTCTCCTCCCCTGCTCTCTGTATTTGTCATGGAGTCTTCTGTTGGTCTCTTCCAGACCCATTCTAAGCACACATCTAACATGAAAATCTCCCATAAAGACTCAGAGGCTTCTTCCTGTTAACTCAAAGCTCAAATTTCACCTTGTATTTATGGTACTCATTATTGTCTCCTTATCTGGCAGAATATTTTCTAACTCTATCTTGACTTGTTAGTGTTTCAGGATGATCAGGAAGGCTGTGCCACAGCTCAATTGCAATACTTTCTTTCCAGGAGTCCACAATTTAAAAATCCTGGAGGAATAGATTTTTTTTAATATTTTATTTTATATATTTCTTACATCATTTTTCATTTTTTGCACAATGTATGCATTTTCATTGTGGGTATAGTTCCCACATAATTCCCACCCCCCTTGTTTTGATCCTACTTCCTCCTCCCCACTCCCCCCAGTGTGTCTCTGGTTTATAGTTGCTTGTTGATTTTGATTTTTACTTTATCATAATTAGTCTTTTTCCTGGTCCCATATTTAGGTTTTCTAAATTCCTGCTATGAGTGAGACCATCCGGTATTTTTCTTTTTCTTTCTGGCTTATTTCGCTGAGCATGATCCCTTCTAGCTCCATCCATGTTGTTGCAAATTGCATGTGTTTATCTTTTTTGATTGCTGAGTAATATTGCATTGCGTATTGCGTATATGTACCATATCTTCTTGATCCAGTCATCTATTTTTGGGCATTTGGGTTGTTTCCAAAGCTTAGCTATTGTAAATAGTGCTGCTATAAACATAGGGGTGCAGGTGCCCTTTTGAATTAATGTTTCTGTGTTCTTTGGGTAAATACCTAGGAGCGTAATTGCTGGATCATATGTAAGCTCTACCTTTAGTAGGTTGAGGAATCTCCACACAGCTTTCCAGAGTGGTTGGACCAGTTTGCACTCCCACCAGCAGTGCAGGAGAGCTCCTTTTTCTCCACATCCTTGCCAACTGGGTCGCTACATGCAAAAGAATGAAACTTGACTACTACCTCACACCATGCACAAAAACCAACTCAAATGGATTAAAGAACTAGACATAAGACCTGAAACCATAAAATATATAGACAGAAATATAGGCAAAACACTACATGACATGCACATCAAAGACATCTTTACAGACACATCACCCAAAGCAGTGATAGTGAAGGCAAAGATAAACAGCTGGGACTACATCAAATTAAAGAGCTTCTGCACAGCAAAAGAGACAATAATCAAAACAAAGAGAAACCCCACCAACTGGGAGAACATTTTTGCACACGACACTAATGATAAAGGACTGATCACAAAAATCTACAAAGAGCTGATGAGACGCAACCAAAACAAAGAAAATAATCCAGTCAAAAAATAGGCAGAAGAGCTAAAATGAAACTTCTCCAAAGAGGAAATGCAAATGGCCAACAGGAAAATGGAAAAATGTTCAACATCGCTTGTAATTAGGGAAATGCAAATCAAACTACAATGCGATACCATCTTACACTATTGAGAATGGCATATATTAAAAAAAAAACTAGGAATAGATTTTTATACTGAATACTTATCAGTTTGGAATCAAAAAGTCTCATAGTGAAAATTTTTCTCACATCTTAGCTTTCATCGTTCTTCAAAATAGTACAGTTATTTTCTGATGAAGCCAGTAGTTGAATATTTGTCATCTGCCTCCCCACTACTTGCAAAGCAAAGCAGACAAAATGGGTTAGAGTAAAACTGTTAAGTAAAATGGTGACATTTACTTTGTCTTCAAAGGTTTTTCTTTTGAAACACAAATGCACTGGTGATCACTGGATTGGGCTGGAGATAAAAAGCACAACAGAAAAAGAGACATGGTAAATTCCTTTTTTTATGGGATTACTTAAGTTTAGATAAGTTTAGATAAGAGAACCTTCTATTATTATGGAGAATTTCTGTCTAATGAAGATACAGTGACTGCTGGACTAATATTGATGATCAGCCTAGAATACATGTGTTCAACTACATTTCTCTAGAGTCCGAATTTCTGTGTATATTGGAAAGATGGAGTGGTTAAGACTGTACCACATATTTAGATTTATTCCCATTGTTACTCAGAGAAGCTGGAAATGGGATATTAAGGCGAAGAAAGATCTTCTTGTTGGCTATTTTGAAAATAAGACCTGAGATACATGTACACAGTTCCCCAATATTAAATTCTTGCCCAATTTAACCTATCTGCTCCATTTCTATAGTATCTATTCTTCAAGTGTTCTATTACCTGTTTGATGACATGTTTTACAATTCAAGGTAAATTTGTTGGTCATTCTAACCTAATTTCATTTCATTCATCGTGTTCCTATCTTCAATTTTGTAGTACAGAAAATTGAATGTGAAAGCCTTACTGCTCTGCCACATAAGATCTGCATAACCCCAAAATGACGATGGCCAATAATGTATCCCCTTAGTTTATATTAGAACTTCTGATTAAAAATAGTAATGGCATTTTTGACTCTGTTGTGTGGAGGGAGCACTTTCTTGTGCATTATAGAGTGTCAGCAGTAACCCTGTCCTCCAGCAGTTACCCCACCTTCCTCCTTCCACTTGTGAAACCAAAAATATCTCCAGATATTGCCAAGCATCCCTTGGTGGGGGCGAGGGGAAAGGGAGGAGATAAAATTGCCCTGGTTAAGAACCGTTGTATATATAAACTGGCAGTTCCACTGAATGTAACAAAATACCAGGTTAACAAAATCTTGGAAGAGAACTTTCTTGGACCAATTTGGTACTGATAGCTTAACCCTACTAAGAGAGAAATGTATTGCAACACACTTTTTCAGGACTCTGGATAAACAATACATTCTTTAAAAAAAAAAAAAAAAAGATTTATTTATTTATTTATTTATTTATTTATTTATTTATATAAGAACTGGGGTACAGGTGTAGGGGGTGAAAGGATTCACCAGAGACAGAGTGGGGAACAGAACAGCCAGACTGACTGAGATAAACTGCTGAGGAGAGCAGCAGGTGAGTCAGGAGAGGTCTGCTATGCCATGTGGGTCACCTCCCCGGCCAGGGATCGAACTCGTGCTGCAGTGGCTGCAGATAGCTTAACCCCTTGTGCCACCAGGGAGGCCCAAGCAATACATTCTTTGAAAGGACCATTGGGCAAGGGAGGAACTGCAGGACTCTCTTAGTCCATAATCTTTAACCCCTTTATTGTAGGTATTATGTGTCAGGGAATGAGGGATGTGGTTATCTGCATGAAAATGGCGTGGCAACCGCCAGATGCTACACAGAAAGAAAATGGATTTGTGAGAAAAATGTACATTGTATAACAATTTCCGATGTTTGACTTAACAACCACAGGTAAGATGGTTTAATGTCTGAAACCTTTTCTATTTCCTTCTGTATAAATATATTAGCATTCAAAATTTTACTGTGTTAATATTATAAACAGATAGCACACCTTGATAATTGTTAAATTTCCTTCTACTGATTTTTCTACTTTTCAGATGCCCTGCATCTTTGCTGTTCTGTGTCATTTTTAAAGAATATTATAATTTCAAAGAATCTATATACCATTTTTAGAAGTGGTTTAATCATTTTTATTCATTCATAGTGTGTATATCTTATATTAATCTTTGTCTTCTTTTATAACTGACAATTTTGCTACACAGTTACTGTATTGCATTTGTATATACCTATTATATACACACACGCACACATATGTTTTTACTATCGCAATGATATAACTTTATTTTCTTTTAAAATAGTTTTTCTATATAGAAGTGTAACTAGGCTATTCTTATGTTCAACATCTATTTTTCTAATTATTTGTGGATTCTTTTAAACATTACAAAACCTAGCATCTAATAAGAACATTTTTAGTATTTCCTACTTATAACTATTACTTATTTCTTGTCTAATGAAGATATAATGACTGCTGGGCTAATACGGATGGTCAACATTTTTAACTTGTTTCACATTTTATAGAAAATTCTAATATTTTAACCTCAGTCATCTTTTCTCTAGCTTTTTAAATGACTTTTAATAGTTAAACCTATACTTTTCTATTCTTATTCTCTAAAAGTTATTTTTTGAAAGTGAGTTTGAATTTTCTTATATGCTTTTGTTCCCTGCATTTTTTTTTTATGTTTTCATAGCTTCTCTTCCTTATTTTTAATGTGGTGGTGAATGACATAAGTTTGCTTTTTTTTTTTTAAAGATTTATTTATTTATTTATTTATTTATTTATTTATTTATTTATTTATTTATTTATACAAGCACTGGGTACAGTCAGAAGTGCGGGAGGGTGAGAGAATTCACCAGAGCCAGAGCAGAGAGCAGAGTAGGCAGAAGGATGGAAGTACACTGCTGAGGGGAGCAGTGGGAGGCAGGAGAGGTCTGCCATGCCATGTGGGACCCTCCTCCGGTGGCCGGGGAGCAGCCGGAGATCGAACCCGCACTGCAGAGGCTGCGGGCAGCTTCGCAACCCAGCGCTCCACAGCTGCGCCCCTGGGGAGGCCCAGCTTTCTTTTTTTTTTTTTAAGATGTATTTATTTATGCATACAAGAGCTGGGGCACAGGCCAGAGATGCGGGGGGTAAGAGGATCCACCAGAGACAGAGTGGGGAACAGAACAGGCAGATTGACCGAAATACACTGCTGAAGGGAGCAGTGGGCAAGACAGGAGAGATCTGCCTCTCCATGTGGGTTTCCCCCTGGCCAGCTGGGGATCAAACTGATTGCTTCATAGTGTGGTGCTTAAACCCTTGTGCCACCAGGGAGGCCCAACATAAGTTTTCTAATGTGAAAGAATTTTGTATCCCTTCATAAAATTCAAGTTGGTTGATGTGATATCATATATATTCAAGCTTCATTCTGATATTAATTTTTATATAATTCTTATATCTTGATCATGAGTGCGATTACCCTAAAATTTTCCCTAGGGAAAAAAAAGGTTAATGATGAAATGAAAACATGGCTGGAGGGCCTCCCCGGTGGCGCAGCGGTTGAGCGCTGGGTTGCGAAGCTGCCCGCAGCCTCTGCAGCGCCGGTTCGATCCCAGGCTGCTCCCAGGCCACTGGAGGAGGGTCCCACATGGCGCGCAGACCTCTCCTGCCGCCCGCTGCTCCCCTCAGCAGTGTACTTCGGTCCTTCTGCCTGCTCTGCTCCCCGCTCTGGCTCTGGTGAATTCTCTCACCCTCCCGCGCTTCTGACTGTACCCAGTGCATGTATAAATAAATAAAATGAAATAAATAAATAAATCTTTAAAAAAAAAAAAAAAAAAAAAAAAAAAGAAAACATGGCTGGAAAATGAGTTACTTTAAATTTATGCTATAAAATCATAAAATTATTATAGGCAAATTTAATTGACTAGACAATTAATTATTGTTTATGTTTTCTGCATATTTCCAGTCATATTTATATCTTTGATCATCTATTCATCACTGCAGCAGCCTTTAAGAGTGTCACCAGAGTGTTTGTGGACAATATGAGAGAAAGCTCATCTTCCTTTACCTCTTTGGGAAATGTGACTGGAAAATACAGTTGACCTTTTATGTAAACACTAGGGGTACTGGGCCTCCTGGTGGTGCAAGGGGTTAAGTCTCATCACTACGAAGCTATGGGCAGCTACTGCAACTCAAATTCGATCCCCTGCCAGGGAGCTAACCCATATGGCACAGCAGACTTTTCCTGTCTCGCCCGCTGCTCCCCTTAGCAGTATATTTCAGTAGATCTGCCTGTTCTGTTCCCCACTCTGTCTCTGATGAATCCTCTCAACCCCTGAACCTCTGGCCTACGCCCTAGCTCTTGTATGCATAAATAAATAAAATAAATCTTTAAAAAAATAAACATTAGGCATACCAACCCCAGGAAGTCATTCTTTCATGTATACCATTATGTTATGGACATTGTTTTTTAATATTTTTTTTCATTTAAAATTTTCTTTCCCAACTGGAACATCACATGCAAAAAATGAAACTATACCACTACCTTTCACCGTGTACCAAAATCAACTCGAACTGGACATAAGACCTGAAAACATAAAATATATAGAAGAAAATATAGGTAAAACACTACAAGATATACATCACAATAACATCTTCAAAGACTCATTACTCAAAGCAAAGAAAGTCAAGGAAAAGATAAACACCTGGGATTACATCAAACTGAAAAGCTTCTGCACAGCAAAAGAGACATTAACCAAAACAGAGAGACACCCCACTGATTAAGAAAAAATCTTTGCACTTCAGTCAACTGAGAAAGGACTGATCACAAATATACACAAAGAACTCACACGACTCAACAAAAATAAATTAAACAATCCAGTCAAGAAATGGGCAGAACTTAATTAAAAGACATTTCTCCAAAGAGGAAATGCAAATGGCCAACAGGCAAATGAAAAAATGTTCAACATCCCTTATAATCAGAGAAATGCAAATCAAAAACACATTGAGATGTCACCTTACGAGTAAGAATGGCACATATCAAAAAAATAAGCAACAACAAATGTTGGCGAGGATGTGGTGAAAAAGGAACTCTCCTACATTGCTGGTGGGAGTGCAAACTGGTCCCATCATTGTATGGAGTTTCCTCAGTCTACTAAAAAATAGAACTACCAGGGCCTCCCCGGTGGCGCAGCGGTTGAGCGCTGGGTTGCAAAGCTGCCCTCAGCCTCTGTAGCGCTGGTTCGATCCCCAGCTGCTCTGCGGCCACCTGAGGAGGATCCCGCATGGCGCGCAGACCTCTCCTGCCACCCGCTGCTCCCCTCAGCAGTGTACTTCGGTCCTTCTGCCTGCTCTGCTCCCTGCTCTGGCTCTGGTGAATTCTCTCACCCTCCCGCGCTTCTGACTGTACCCAGTGCTTGTATAAATAAATAATAAATAAATCTTAAAAAAAAAAATAGAACTACCATACGACCTCACAATTCCACTACTAGGGATCAAGCCAAAGGACATAAAAACAGTGATTCAAAAGAGCACCTGTAAACCTATGTTTATTGCAGCACAATTTACAATAGGTAAACCTGGAAACAACCCAAAAATAGATGACTAGATCAAGAAGATGTGGTACATATACATGATGGAATATTATTCAGCAATCAAAAAGATAAACTCATGCCATTCGCAGCAACATGGATGGAACTAGAAGGAATTATGCTCAGTGAAATAAGCCAGAAGGAAAAAGAAATATATCATATGGTTTCACTTATAGCAGGAATATAGGGGAACCAAATAGACATCAGTGTAAAAAAAATAGTAACAGTACAAAACACAACAACGGAAAAAAAGACAATTATAAATCAGAGACATACTGCAGGGAAGGAGGAGGGAGAGGGATCAGAGGGAAGAACACAGGGAACTGAGGTGATGGTGCACGGGTGCATTGATGAAGGCAACTCTATGGGGACTACACCTGAGGGGGTGGGGGGAAGCAAATATTGTTTAAAAATGAACAGTTACATAAAAAATAAAAAAAATTTTTAAAAGAATGTAAAGTCAAGTTAGAATAAGTTTAATTTAGAGGCGTTAAAGCCAACAGTTACCTCAGAAAGTGAAAAAAATAAAATAAAATTTTCTTTCCCACCACCATTCCTTACATGTTTTTGACCCCTTCTTCCACCACCCTCCTTTATCTCAGAAGTCTCACTTCATTTGTATCCCCTATTTTTTATGTTTGGCTTTCTTGGATACAACTCAGGCGGTAGTGATGATAGCACTGAGGTTTAACCCTAGGGAGACCCCCTGATTTGATATACTACCATAAGACCCTTGTATTCTTTGTATTTTGTTCTATCTTTTATTGTTCACTGGATAACATTCCATTGTGAATTTATTGCCTGTAGGGTAAATGAATTTCAGGCTTTTCTACCCTCCCACCATTAGGATTGCATGCCTGATTGGGGGAGGGGGGGCACCTGCATTTGGTTACATTGTTTTATTCAGTTGTATTGTTTACTTCTGTGGGCCATGGTTGCTGTATTTATATTGGCCAAGAGAACAGGGAGCGAGAACACCAGAGAGCCCAGTAAAGAGTGAAGATTCACAGGGGTCTGAGAGGCCTATCGGCCTCCTGGTCCCCTGGCACCAATGCCTGCCAAGTACCTGGTTGCCACACTAAATGTAAAAGCTCAATAAACACCTGAAAAAGTCACTGAGGGTTCCAGGACTCTCCTTTACCCATCTGCTCAGATCATAGAGAACCAGCTCTGTGCCTATCCTGGCACTACAGTTGCAATAAGCTGGCAGAATGATTCTATAAGATGGGTGTGGAGCCCTCTGAAGACCTCAGGAGGGACTGAGGAGTAGCAGACCGTGAGCCTGTGACAACGCTGGACGTGCCATGGCAGCACAGGAGGTGACCAGAGTCCAAGAGCTGCAAGAAGAGCTAAAGATGCTGCAGGTGCACAGGAGGTGGACAAGGTCTGGGAGCTGCGGGACAAGAGCTCAAGTGGAGGAGGAGACAGTCTGAGAGGACCAGTCCAAGACCCCCGAGGCAGCAGAATTATCCAGAGCTCACCAAAGCTGACACAAGGAACAATGTGTGATTATTCTTGTGTGAGACAAAGGTTGTCAGATGACTGGGGTCGGGGAGGGCATGCCTGTGTATCTTTGTTTCACTAAGATGAATACGGTTGTGCTTGGATCATAGTTAATGCATATACAGAAAGCCGTGGGGAAGTTGACAATCTTTCCAGAGTAGCGCCATCATCCATCACAGGTCTAATATGGTGGTAGACACATGTGGTAGTAATTGTTATCATCTTTTAGTTATGTGCACATTGTTCTTAGAAAGGCAAAAGCTGGTGCTGATATTGGGCCACCCTGAGCAGCTGCTAAGCAGCCTAAGTATGCTAAGGAAGCCCAGTGATTCTCTTAAATTCACCTGTGGGTGATGCCCTGCTCATTGCTGAGTGAGGGTGAGGAGCTGAGGAACCCAGTGGGGAACGTTCTTCTGTTACGTTTGAATTATATTTCCAAAAAGCTATTTTGACATCTTAAATTTCAATACCTTGTAATGTGATCTTATTTGGAAATAAAGTTATGGAAACTGTAGTAATTAAGATGACATCATTAGGATGGGCTTTAATGTCTTATAAGAAGAGGAATTTTGGAGTCAATAACAGAAATTTATGAAGGGAAGTTTACGCGAATACGTGGAAAGGAAAGTCATGTGATGTATTTATGAGCCAAGGAATGCCAAAGATTGCCAGCTATTACCAGAAACTTGAAGAAGCCAGGAGTATTGTCTCCTAGAACAGGCAGAGAACATGACCCAGCAGAAACCTTGATCATGGACTTCTAATCTCCAGAACTGTAAGACTATATATAGATTTCTGCTTTTCTAGTTTTGAGATGCAGTTGGGAATTCCCCTATCCCTCTGAGTTCTTCTGAAGTGAACTAATGAGCAAATTAGCATACAGATGGAGAATTTACATGACTATAAAGCAAATTCTAAAGCAAATGAGGTAAACTGGAGGTGTTATATTCTGTGCTAAGGGACCTGGGCACTGAAATAAGAGGTGGGAGCTTCACATCAAGAGGGCATGACTTCTTCCATACTCTAAGGGTAAAATTGAGTTTCTCATGATAATCTACAGTTGGTTGGAAACTCCCAGATGGCCTTCCTCTAAGTCATTATAGGAAGCAGTGATGACATCTTCACCAGAGGTAGAGCCAAGGGATTAGGAAAAGGCCAAGAACTTCTCCTTAGCTTCTAGGGCTTCTATTGACCTTAGCTCCACATACCGAGGTGGCAAGTGTTAGAAAAGGCCCACTTTGGGCATTTGGAAATAGGGGTGCTATCTCTCTTGATGATCCCCTTTCAAAAAGGTGACTCTTAAGTCCTTGAGAAAGAAATTTCTGGTTTGTAAAACTTTCAAGAGGCCTTTAAAAGACTTGCGTCTCAAGGGACAAAAAATATTCAAGTATAAATTTTCTAAAGTAAATGCTTTAAAGAAAAAAGGGGTGCAAAGTCAGTTTTAAGTCAGTCAAGTTGAGGTGGAGGCTAAGAACATCTTGGTCACTCCTCACAATATAGTAATAAATTACAAAGGGAAAAGAGTTACTTTACAGGGGCCTCCCTGGTGGTGCAGGGGTTAAGACCCAACCTATGAAGCTATCCACAGCCACTGTAGCATGAGTTCGATCCCCGACCAGGGAGCTACCCACATGGTGCAGCAGACCTCCCCTGACTCTCCCGCTGCTCCCCTCAGCAGTGTATTTCAGCCAATCTGCCTATTCTGTTCCCTACTCTGTCTCTGGTGAATCCTCTCACCCCCCCCACCCCATACCCCTGGCCTGTACCCCAGTTCAGCCTATAGTTTTCAAAAGTGTCAAGGTTATGAATGTCAAGTAACACTAAGACTAACCCATTTTATTTCTCTATATTCCACATATAAGTGAGACCATCTTGTATTTGTTTTTCTGTTTCTAACATATTTCGCTTAGCATCATTCTCTCCACTTCCATCCATGTTGTCAAAAAAAATCACTATCAGTATTTTTCCAGTTCCTAATATTGACAAATCCATTTGAGAACACTGTTGCAGGTTTCAGAGTAAATATTGTTTCCCCTGATGGCAGCACAGCTATTTTTTTCATCTGGTCCTTTTTTGGAGAATCTGGAGAGACAATAAATACATTGTTAATCATTAATTGCTGGGGACATTCATTTGTGTTTTCAGCCAATACCCTCTCTTAAAAAGGTGATTCAAAAATTTCACAACATTTTCAAATATAATATCTTGATTCACTAAGTATTGTTTTCTCTGACTGGCAATGTTCCCTGAAGAATCTGTTTACAAATGACAAAGCTAAGACTAAATGTTTCCTGTTGCTGCTGTGACAAATTACCACAGACCTATTGATTTAAAACCGCACAAATTTGTTATCTTTCAGTTTTAGATATCAGAAGTTCAAAACAGGTATTACAGAGTTAAAATCAAACATCTTTAGAGCTGCCTTCTGGATGCACTAGGGGAAAATTCATTCTTTCTTTTTCTTTTTTTGCAGCTCCCAAAAGCCACTTACATTCCTTGGGTCATGGCCACATCTGTATTCACCTTCACATCTCTTCTCATTCTGCCCCAACTTTCTCCCTCACATCAGAATCCTTGAAATTACATTGGCCCCACTTGTATAGTCCAACATATTCCTGTCTTAATGTTTAATTTTAATTATACTCCCAGAAGTTTGTTTTGTCACGTAAGGCAACATATCACAGAATTTGTAGATTGGTATATGACATCTTTGAGGGGCATTATTCTACCAATCAACATAAAGATAATATTTGAATTCACATGTTTTACTACCTGCATGTCCAATGAAATAATAAAAATAATATAAGCACACAAAAATGTTGATAAAAATTGTTACATTCTCACTGGACATGCAATTATTGAGAAGTTTCAGTCATTTTAACTGTCTTAAATTTATTTGTCTTTTAACATTATGATAATCATACAAAATAAAAAGTTGTACCCATTGTTTTTCGAATGCTCAAGGTGGTTAGAAAAAGCATTAAGAACACTGAAAACAGAAGAGCACATTTTCATATTAAGTTTGATTGACTTTAAACAATAAATCAAAACCATTATTTTCAAGTCCTTTTGGCTTGAAAAACAAACCAAAACATCTATCATTTCTCCAGTAAATATCAAATTAATTTTCATCCTTTCAAATTCTTTAGTACCAAGAACTATTTCAGAGTTGATTTAGATTGACTTAGCGGTGATTTATGAAGATGAATTCTACAGTGGAAAATAAAATTGTCTTTTAGGAAAGACTCACCTCTTTGAATCTAATGGAGAACCATCCAACCAGGTCCATGTTCTTGTTATGGAGGTAAAGCTAAGCCCAATCCACATATAGTTTGACTGTTTTAGGTGTTTCTGTATAAAAGCCTAAAAAGAACTTGATGAATGATTTAACAAAATATTTTAATATTTCAGATAAACTAACAAAGTTTTTGGAATGTTATTAGACAATTAGCACTCCATAGTGCTAAGAGGATTCTTATACAAATCAAAATTTATCTTATTTACACACATTATATAATACTTTATATATTCAACATATACATATACACTACTTGATAATTGATACTAGTATCAGATCAGGAGTAGGATGAGTCAAGTGAAGCACTGATGTCAAGTACAAACTACAAGTTGAACCAAAAACTCAGTAATTAAGATAAATGATAATTTAATGGAACAGTGGGAAGAAACTTGAGAAAAATCATTTTAACTCTGAAAAGGATACTGCTATATTCCTGAAACTAAATCACTTACCATCTCGAGCTGGTCAGATATGATTAAGAGACGAGATTTTCTTTCCAGACAATACTCATAACTGCCTTTCCAACTTTTCATTTCATTAGAGAACCAGTAACACTTATGTTCATATCTGAGCCATCCTGATGGGCACAATCCTACAAGGGAAATTGGGGAAACAAATAAAAAATAAATTGTGTGTTTAACTCTGAAAATTGGCAGTACAAATAGTGGTTCGACATTACATGAATTACTCGTAAGAAGGTATTCAGATTCACAGGTGTTCAAAATGCAAAAGATAAGTCAAGGGAATTAACAAAATCATTTTAGTAAGATGAAGCAAAACAAGTTTGTTTTCATGCCAAGATCTAATATAATCACTAAATTAACATAAACCAAAAAAAGATATATATTACATTAATAATACTTGAGAGATTAAATTGAGTATTATTTATAATATTTGTTTGGAATTTATTCACATGAAGTTTTAGAATCTTTCCCTGTGTTAAGTGCATAAATCTCCCTTTAATATCTCACTCTTGATATCAAATAATACTGAGATTAGTTACAGTTATTTTCAACCTTGTTATAAGCATGAGATCATGAACTCCTTTGACTTTGTTAAATTAAAATTAAATTTAGTTTTGCTCAAATTGAAAATATCTTAGATATTTGATAGGTAAAGCTAAAGCTATGCCATAGCAATGAAAAAAAAAAGTAAAGTGTACATCCAAATAGAAGTGCAGGGCAAAATACCTATTCAAACTTATAGGCCCTACAATCTCCTTTGGTAAATAGTGAGGTAAAATTCCTTTATCATAAAATTTACTATTTTAATAATTTTACAGTATAGATGCCATGGGTTTTAGTACCTCCACAGTTTTGTCCATATATAGATGACTACTATCTATCAGAATATTTTCATCACCCACAAAATTAAAACCCATGAACATTAAACAGTCACTATCCCTTAAACAAATTGTGGGATATAAATATGATGGAATATTATTCAGTCATAAAGGGAAAAAAGTACAATATATGATACAACATGAACTCTTTAAAATATTATGCCAAGTGAAAGAAGACACAAAAAGTTAAATATTGTAAGAAAAGTCAGAGCAGTAAATCCAGAAAGCAGATGAGTTTTGCCAGAAGCTGGTGGGGAGGGAATGAGGAATAATTGTTTAATGGGTATGTCTGTAGGATTTCCTTTTCAGGGTGATGACAATGTTTTGGAGCTACTTAGATATGTGGCTGCACAAATATTCTCTTGAATTTAATTGTCAGTAAGTAGCTTTATATAAGTTTGATAATACCATCTCAACTAAAAATATAGGAAATAAATATTATGTAGTGATAAACAGTAGACTGACTTTAATGAATATTTAATAGTATCTGATTACCTATCAAAGCTTCCTTCCCTCAGGAAAAAAGTGTAAAATTCAACATAATGAGGAATTAGCTAGTCAGTGTGTAAAACACATGGTGAAATTACAATATTATCACTGGTTTGAGACTTGAACATGTAAAACAGACAATCCAAAAGAAGGTGAATAAGTAAGCCATAAAACATATGATATTTTCAAAAGTGATAAAGAGATAACATAAACTAGTAAATTAGAGAAAAGTCCTTTGATACATAATTATAAAATAAATCCATGTGTACCTTTATCACATTTTACTCTGTAAAATAAATGTCATGGGCTCACATATTGTTAAAGAATGCTAAAAAGTTAAAATAAAGAAATCATTGAAATAGGATGTACAGATTTCCAAAATTTTATGATTAAAATTTCTAAGCTTAAAACAATAATAGATAATTTGTTTATTATAATTAAAGTTCAAATGATTAAAGCTATTACTGGCCAAGCCTTGAGGGATACCTGAGTGGTGTGTAGCTTCAGAAACACAAGTGTCTGAGTCCTTACCCCTTATATTTCCTCTTTTGTCACCATTTACTTTAAGGTTTCCAGTGTCATCATGCTGGGTGGCATTTGAATTGTTTTCATTTTGGCATGTAAGCAACATTCCCTGAGAAACTTGAAAACAGAATATTTTAAGCTTGAATAAATCCTTTCTCTGTGCAATGTCTTGGAGAGAAAGACTTTGAACTGATTCTGATGGTTGGAATGAGAAAAAACTAAAGTGATAAAGAGAAAAATTCATTTTCTTGTTTATTTCATGAAAACTAATTTTAGATATTACACAATCAATTCACATATAGAAGACATATTCATAGAGGAGCCACTCTGCTAGATATCATCTTAAGAACCAATGGCATAATAGTAAATAAAAGTTCCTGCTTTAGCAGCAAAAATGCTCTTCCCATGCTTTTTTAATGTTCTTCTGAAACCTATGATAGTGTGTTTAGTCCACTAGTCATATTTTTTCATTTAAAGCCTATTTCTTCAACAAGAATATGAGATTGCTCACCATGATTATTCCTTTCTCTTAAAATAAATGGGGAATTTATAGTAATGTTTGGGATATAGAAGTTTCTTATTAAATGCCTGTTGGACAAAAGCAAGGGTACATTCAACACAATCTTAAGCAAAATACATAAAATATTTAAGAAAATATAGTAGAATTTTGTCTAAGAAATCTGAAAATTAATTTTTAAAACAATTATCACACACACACACTTTCCTCCTCTTAGACTATGTGACATTTAAGGAATAGATTCTTATCTGATTCAACTATGTATTAAACACATCACTCTGGAGTATAATATCATGCTTGATATATAGCAGCTCCTTATTTAATCTTCATTAATATAATAATGAATGAATATAAAAAGACATAAAAAAATGAAAACGTTTTTCATATATATACTTAATTAAGATCTTTTAACTTACCCAGTAAGATCAGGGAGATGAAAATCAAAACCAGAATGCCATTTACTGTTCCAGATATTCCCAAAAAGATTTTATACCAGCGCAACATCACAGAATAATCTGAGAGATTAATCACATGAATTAGCTTAGAAAATTGAATTTCAAAAAAGTGATACCAATCATATTAATAGAATTGGATAGTACATAGATTTTTAATTTCAAAGTAGATTAGGTAATCAAATGTAAAAAACATAAGTAAATAGAAAAGCATATATTTATTTAACAATGATAATATGCTGGGTGGTCAGAAATTATGATACCTGCTACATTGAATCTTAAGAAACTGCTAATATTTGACAATATTAACCAGTGAAAAAAACAATTTTAATCACATCTAATAATCCCTCATACACACATTTGTGTATAGATGTGTACTTATATATGCAGAGATACAGTCACTAAAATACTTTCTGATTAATCATTTGTTCAATACAATTTCACAAGTCATTTACCCATTTCATTTACTAAGGATGTAATAGCAATCAGAGCTAATTATGACTCCTGGTACCTGCTATATTAATCTAAAAAAAATTCTGAAGCCCTTCCTTTCCCATGCATGAATGGTACTTCAGCTTCTCATGGGATTAAATTCCTAAAGAGCGCAGCTGTATTAATTTCCATATTCTTACTCTGTCAAATTCAAGATGAGTGTTCATTTAGTGATGACTATTGATCATCAAACTGATATCATTTGACAAAAGGAGATAATCTCATCCAGTATCTCAAGGATATATGTCATTTTTCTCAACCTCATTAAAGTGGACTCAGATCTAGAGGATACTGACTTCTAGACTTATATGAGTAATCAGTTTATACTGAATTAAAAAACAGCTATATTTTGCATAACAGGTTATGTCCATATAAAATAAAATTTATGCAAATGTATTATAATTGTGATTACTTTATTGCTCAGTCAATAAATTGAATTATTGATCCTGACCTTCATAGTCCAAACAGCTTTTAAACCTGTGACAACAGAAAAGCTATTACTACTAGAAATTGCCAAATCCATGTAGAAATTGCCAAATCCATGTAGAAAAGTATTTCAGAAAAATACAGTTTTTCTGTTATCATAGCATTGACATAGATAGCAAGTAAGATATTTTATAATATATAATTTAAAACTGTTATAATTATAATATAAAAATTATATATTTATATTTTATATATTTATATTTATATATTTATATTTATAATATAAAAATTACATTTATAATATAATTTAAAACTGTTAAACTATCACATGGTATACCTTAAACTTATACAATAGTATATGTCAATTATATCTGAATAAACCTGGGGCCAAAATGTTTCTTCAAATCTCCATTACCATTAAACATTGTTTGGAAGGTATTATTTAATACAATCAGATAAAATAATTTGATTAGAGTTTACTTTTTTAATTAGAAAAAAGATACAAATATGTGAAGATAATACGGATACATATTTGGCAAAATTAAAAAAAAAAATCCATTGGGGAAAATTACTGTAATCCCGCAAATAATAAAACAATTTAGGAGATGCAGATGTAAAGTTAACATAAAATTAACAACCTTAATATAAGCAATAACCATTTAAAATATAAGTGAAGGGAATGGCTTATTTATAGACAGCCAACAAAATTTAAAAAAGCAAACAAAAGTCTTGCAATTTATTTTTTTCTAGTTAATCATATTTTTTTAATAATTTTTATATTCCCCATAGAATTGCACCCTCCTTATTTTGACCTCAAACCCTCCTTCCCCTCCCCCCACCATAGTGTGTCTCTGGTTTATAGTTGTTTGTTGATTTTGATTTTTTCTTTCTTATATTTATTCTTTTTTCTGGTCCCTTATTTAGGTTTTCTAGATTCCTGCTATGAGTGAGACCATCCGGTATTTATCTTTTTCTTTCTGGCTTATTTCATTTAGCATGAGCCCTTCCAGCTCCAGAAGTCTTGCAATTTAACAAGAAGTGCCCCAAAACCATGTGAACACTGAGCAGATTGATGCCATTTTGAGAGCTGAGCCTCTGTCTTGTCCACTTGACTTTTGCTGACAATGTGCTGCCAGAATAGTCACAATCGTTTCTTTTCCTGTTACTGACAACTGAAATTGTTGAGTGTAAGAAAAAGCAAGACCTACTAAAATTTAGGACTTTCTTAATAAACCAGTGAATTGTAGAGAATTTGACCTTCTGTCAGTTATAACTGTAAACAACATACCTAATTCCTGTTGCTTCCTTAAGTTTACTGAAAAGTGCCAATAAAAAAAATTTCTTCTCTAGGACACATTTCAACACTCTACACTGTGTCCAAATTGCAGTTCCCCCCCACACCATGCAAATGCTTCTACTTATTCTATAGCCTCATAGTGTTTTTGTTTGACATAAAAAGGAGAACTAAACAAAAAACTGAATAACCTGAATGTCTCTTAAACAAATGGTTACCCTAAATTAATTGATAGATGTATATATAATTCAAATATATATGTAAGATATATGTGTAGAATATCTCTATAGTATACATGGAGAGAGAGAAGAGGAAGAAAACAAGAATTTTTTTTTTTAATCATTGATGCTAAGACATGAGAAAAGGTAAGTAGTTACGTAAAGTAAATCCTTATAATCACAAAGCTTAAATTGTCAATCAGATTCAAATATAATATGTCTTACCCTAAGCTTAAGTAAATATTAGCAAAAGAGACACTATTAGCATATGTCTGTTCAGAATTAGGAACTGCAAAATTTCCTGAGCCCCTTTTCTTCACCAAAACACATTTTGAGGGCCTCCCGGGTGGCCTAGTGTTTAAGTCTCAGTTCTATCATTGCTACTGCCTGAGTTCCATCCCCAAACTCACACATGGCGCAGCAGACCTTTTCTGTCTCCCCCCTGCTCCCCTCAGCAGTGTATTTCAGTACATCCGCCTTTTCTGCTCCCCAGTCTGTCTCTGGTAAATCCTCCCATCACCCGCCTCCCTCCACCTCTGGCCTACACCCCAGTTCTTCATGCCAAAAAAAAAAAAAAAGCACATTTTGGTTTATGAGTGACATCTACAGAGTGTGAAAAAGTTTGCAGACTCATTTTGTGGTCTTTCAAGTCAATCTATTTTCCAAAATAATTCCTTTCACCTGGTGAAAAACATCTTAAAATATTTTTGTAGACTGAGTTAGAAATTGGTATTAGAAATCCCATATTTTATAACTGATTAAGAAGTAGAGGACTGGCACCAAATATTCATTTCTTTAATAATTTTAATTGACTGTATATATTTCCTGCGGATGTCCTAAAGAAATTGTAAGACCAAATATTATGTTTAAAGAAGTGATTTTTAGTCCCACGATTATAAATGAGAGAGAGACAGAGACATGGAGACAGAGATAAGATGGAGACAGAGACAGCACTAAGACAGACACAGGGAAGCTGGAAAAAAATGAAGCAGTCCTAGAACACAAAAGAACAAAGTAACAGAATATTGAAAGGTAGCAGCCTCTGAGGTTGAGTTTGATCCAAGCCAGCCAGGGAGAAACCCACATGGCGCCGCAAACCTCTCCTGACTAGCCGGCTGCTCCCCTCAGCAGTGTACTTCGGTCAATCTGCCTGTTTTGTTCCCCACTCTGGTGAATCCTCTCACCCCCCACACCTCAGGCCTGTACCCCAGCTCTTATATGCATAAATAAATAAATCTTTTTTTTTTTAAGTAGTATTCCTACTAACATCTGTGTCATCATTAATTGTACTAAACGCACACCCACATCAACTCAAACCAATTGACAAAGAAAGCTGAATTCCTTACCTTTAAATTTAAGTCGGGATGCTTGGCTAGAGCTCCTCTTTTTCAGTTGTATGTTCAATGCCATGTATCCTTCTTCATCTTGCATCTTCAGTGTGAGTGAAGGGCTTTGTATGTATATGCTCTTGTTTGCTTTTAAAGAACAAGGAGAATAACCTGCTGCTAATCAGATCTTGTCCTCAAATTGTCCACTCAGGCTACCTACATGGGTTCACAGTTTCATCTGTTAGTGAAAACCTCAAAGGAAATGTTGTTTTTTTTTTTCCTTTAAGCCTATTGCACTTGGCATACATAACACAATTTCTCAATTGTTCACCACATACCAAATTTAACACTATGCTTGTTTTTTTTTTAAAGAAACAATCCTGATAACCCCATAAAGCAGAATGTAAATTGCCAGTCTTTCAGAGAATATGTGATTTTCAGTTATACACCCTAATATATTTACATTTACTTTAACATAATAGCTTGAAATTACCTATCAATTAAAGAATTTCCTGATCTTAAAACAACATTGATTATAAATCAAGATGATGACTTAATATCATTTACAGAGGAAATAATATATCTCCATCTTATCTCTGTCTTCATGTCTCTGTCTCTCTCTTATTTATAATCGTGGGACTAAAAATCACTTCTTTAAACATCCCAAACATCCCAAACATTAATTATTTAATACATCCCAAACAGTAAAAAAGGACAGAATTTAGGAGAAAAAAAACTATGTTTTCCCATTGCCCTCTCTTGATTTGAAAAGAATACCCAAAATTCACAAATCAGGGCAAAAATTTGACGTTATTTTGCACTTTGTTTTAGTGAGGTCCAATTTACATACCATGAAACTCACCCATAGTGAGTATATGATTGAACGACTTTTAGCAAATATAGATCTGTGCAACCATCATCAAAATCTAGTTTCTATCACTAGAAAAGTCCCCTCAACTCAAACAAAATAGAGTATGATAGCTTTAGTAACACTAAGTTTGTATGTTGAGATAAAGTCCTTTAAAATTTTGACAAGTTATGAAAAGTTGACATCTGTGAAGCCACTTTAGAATAGAATCTTAATAAATTTTATTTTTATATTCCCCATACAATTGCAGCCCCCCCCACCATTCTGACCCCAATCCCTCCCCTCCCGCCCCCCACCCCCAAAAAGTGTCTCTGGTTCACAGTTTTTGTTGATTTTGATTTTCACTTTCTTATAGTTATTCATTTTCCTGGTCCCTTATTTAAGTATTCTAGATCCCTGCTATGAGTGAGACCATCCGGTATTTTTCTTTTTCTTTTTGGCTTATTTCGCTGAGCATGATCCCTTCCAGTGCCATCCATGTTGCTGCAAATTGCATGTGTTTATCTTTTTTGAATGCTGAGTAATATTCCATGGTATATATGTACCACATCTTCTTGATCCAGTCATCTATTTTTGGGCATTTGGGCTGTTTCCAAAGCTTAGCTATTGTAAATAGTGCTGCTATAAACATAGGGGTGCAGGTGTTCTTTGGAATTGATGTTTCTATGTTCTTTGGGTAAATACCTAGGAGTGGAATTGCTGGATCCTGTGGAAGCTCTATGTTTAGTAGGTCCAGAAATCTCCACACAGCTCTCCATAGTGGTTGGACCAGTTTGCACTCCCACCAACAGTGCAGAAGAGTTCCTTTTTCTCCACAACCTCGCCAACATTTGTTGTTGCTAGTTTTTTTAATAAAATTTATTAATTAAAAAAAAAAAAGAAAGGTATCAAAAAGAAGTTTAACACTGTAAACTATTATCAAGGACTTGTCTGAAAAGTTTTCAATGGAATTTGTAACTAGGAGATTGCTGTTCATGTTGAAGAAAGGATTTCACTAATAAAAGGCATAATCCAGATTATGATAAAATAAAAAGATGGATAACAAGAAGGCAGGCTAACTTCCCAACAATTTTGGCAGAGAAAGACATTGAGAAAATAGACTGAATGTGTAATATCTAGAATGAAGTGTAGGGTTAAAAACGGTTTATTTGGGGCTTCCCCGGTGGCGCAGCAGTTGAGCACTGGGTTGCGAAGCTGCCTGCAGCTTCTGCGGCGCCGGTTCGATCCCCGGCTGCTCCCCGGCCACCGGAGGGTCCCGCATGGCGCGCAGACCTCTCCTTGACCGTACCCAGTAAATAAATAAATAAAAATAAATCTTTAATTAAAAAAAAAAAAAGAATAGAATCTTACAGAGGAGAGGTGTTACCTGTCTCCTGTGAACTAGGTCAAAGACTTTTGGCCTAGATCACAATGATAGATTTAAAAAGTCATAAAGCAAATAATTACTTAAGAAGTGATAATCATGGCCTTTTGAGTGGAAGATAGAATTCCTGAGTTCCCCTTTTATTCTTTCTAGAGAATTGGTAACCAATTACATATAAGGATGTATATCAATTCTCTTTAACCACTTATCATATGTTCCTCTTTTCCTCCCATAAAAACTGATTTTGTCCCTTGTTGGGGCACATTTTAGGTTTTCTATCTGAATAGTGGGTAACAACCCACTATTGGAATTGTTAAACTCCAATAAACATGTTTTGCCTTTTTAATCACCTTCTGAATATTTACGTTAAAATAGTCAAGCATTTAAGGACTAAAATATCAAATGTATTGGTCACAAACTCAACAAGTAGGATCAACCTGAATGTGGAAGAAAGCAACTATAATCTTTCTCAAAACTGACTTTACACATTATTTTCCTTGAAAGTAAAAGGAGGGGACATGAGAGAGTTTGCTATTTTCCCAAGATAACCCAAGGGCAGTGAATATTCTGAGACTATAACTCAAAGACCTCAAATCTGACATCATGGACTTTTTCCTCCACACTAGTTTTCTCTAGTGTAGCAAGGAAAATGAGTCGTACTATATTCTCCAAAACCCTTCGCCACATTTCTTCACTACCACAAACACACTTTTCCACAAATCAAATATTTTAAGTAGACTTTTATCTGTCTATACAACTATGACTTCTAAAAAGGAGGACATTCTAATACTTGTAAATGTCTGTAAGTAGTAGATATCATTTAGTAAAATGCGATGAATGATATGAACTTTGAAAGACTTTATATCATACAAAGTTCTTTATTTCTGCTCTGAACTTTTTCTCTTGGTCAATAAACTCTGCATAGATACAGTAGGCAACTCTATTCTGAGCTCTGAGGACAGGTTCCCTCAAACAACTTCTAAAATAAGTGCATACAATCCCTAAATGCTAATTTAGTACCTACAATACTCCAGAAGTATAATAACTCAAGTATGATGACTCATAACCAAGAAAAGAAACTCCAAAGGTCAGTGATAGAATTTCTCTGGAACTACGCTCAAATTTTTATGTATACAAAATAATTTATGAAATGCACAAACTAGAAAAAAAATTGTAGTATTTATTTTTGTATCTCCATCATCCATCAGTTACTGGACCTCCAGTTTGTATCTAGTGTTTGGTTACTAGGATGGCAAGGCAGGCTTTGGGGAAGGTACTCTTCTGGGGGAAACAGATGTTTGCAGGGAGGACAGTAGAGAGTTTTGCAGTTCATTCTTTACAAACATTTGTCTATCTTACAATCACTCAGCAGCCAGCTCCTCCTAAAGGTGTCACAGCCACTAGAGAGCACCAGTTCACAAGTACATCTGAGGAGTCCCTGCTGAGTTACAAAAAAGGAAGAATGAAGGGCAACCTCTTGTCAGAAACCAACCTGAGGATTTCACTTAGCCCCAGGCTGTTAGTTATTGTTGATCATCAGTGGTGACATCATGTCAAATCATCCAATTTTGAAGGCATATGAAATCAATCTAGTGATGCTTATTTGATATTTACTAATCATCTACACCCACCCAGTCATTGTGCTCTGTACCACCCGATGCTATTGGTTAATATCTGCAGTTATGGGCCTCCCTGGTGGCACAAGAGGTTAAGCACAACACTATGAAGCTGTCTGCAGCCTCTGCAGCACAAGTTCGATCCCTGGCCGGCTAGGGAGATACCCACATGGCACAGCAGACCTTTCCTGTCTCACCCGCTTCTCCCCTCAGCAATGTATTTCAGTCAGTTTGCCTGTTCTGTTCCCCACTCTGTCTCTGGTGAATCCTCTCACCCCCCCATACCTCTGGCCTGTACCCCAGTTCCTGTATGCATAAATAAATAAATCTTTAAAAAGTATATCTGCAGGGCCTCCCCTGGTGGTGCAGATGGTCGAGCGCAGCCCTGTGAAGCTGTCCGCAGCCTCTGCAGTGCTGGTTTGAACCCGGCCAGCCGGCTGGCAAGGGTCCCACATGACGCAGCAGACCTCTCCAGTCTCACCCAGTGTATTTCATCAGTCTGCCTGTTTTGTTCTCTGCTCTGTCTCTGGTGAATCCTCTCACCCTCCCGTGAATCTGGCCTGTACCCTGGTTCTTGCAAAAATAAATAAATAAATCTTAAAAAAAAAAAAGAAAAAGAAAGCTTTAAAAAAATATATTTAAAAAAAGAAAAAAATGTATATTTGCAGTCATAACAAGACTGTTATACAGGTATAATTAATTATTCTTTTAAAATTTAATTTTTTGAATTTTCTTGCCATCAAGAATAAAAATTATTTAAAAATCTTAAAATAATTTGGAATTAGAATTTTTCTGTAGTATTACGTGCTGCATGAGATAACTGAATATACATTTCAAGTTTGTGGCTGAAAACCATGAACATCTAGGTTACTTTGTGCATAGAGACTCATTGCACAAATTAAACTTTTTCAAAGATGTTATCATTGTTCTAAAGTCAACCTCTTTGAAGCCAGAAATGAAATTAGTATCTTTTTCTCAATTTTATTATGTGAAAAATGTATAGGCCATAAATAAGCAAATTTTATTGATTTATAAACAAATTTCCTCTTAAGAATGCCAAACAAAAATAACTTTAAAAGTTTCAGTTTAAATACTTTCAATGCCAATCTATTTTGTAGACTCTCTGTAGGCCTGAAGACTAATATTGTTGCAAAATTCATAATATTCTTTCTTTAAAAAGTAAAAAGTGGACTTAATGAATTAAGGGCTAAGAATTGTGTCAAAGTAAATGAAACTAAAATCTTTGTAAAACTGGGCCTCCCTGGTGGTGCAAGGGGTTAAGACACAACCTATGAAGCTATCCAAGCCACTGCAGCATGAGTTCAATTCCCAGCCAGCAAGGGAGCTA